TCCATGACCGACGCTCTCTGTTCTGGAGCTTTGCTTGGCCGGGTCTCCATGGTGAAGCCGACAATCTCTTCGGAGTCTTTTCACAACAACAAGAGAGGTGAAAGCTGCGGCCCCGGCGTATAAAAAAAAATTGCATTTCTGTCCTCCCTGAGTCAGCGCTCTCAGGAAACCCGCGAAAACATCTCAATATTTATGTTAAACGCATGCGGCCCTCCGTCCTTCAAACATACGACGGAGGAAAACACGGCTATGTACATAACGACCAGACGTTTGCTTCTGTCTTCAAATCATTGGCCGCCGAAACGGTTTTGGTTTTTACTCTGGCTGGAAGAGAATGCGTTTTGCTGTTGTCATAGCCGACAGGTTGCCACGTCCAACTAACCGGGCTGCAATGTCACTCAATGAGGGCCCGTTCACACCAGTTGCAGTGCGTTCCGGCCCGATTCTGGCCAGAACGCCTCCTCGCATTGCGGCCGGCTCACTTTTTAGTGGGGCAGGAGGGGGGGCGTGGCGGGCCATTGAAGTGAACGGCACCGTAGTCACGCCCTCCGGCCGCAATGCGATCGCCCGCACACTATGCCTGCGGTCCGATCAAAATGCTACAAGCACTATTTTGCTCGCACCGGACCACAGACACGATGTGCCTTGCGATCCCGTGCGGGCGATCGCATTGCGTCCGGAGGGCGCGACTACGGTGCCGCTCACTTCAATGGCCCGCCACGCCCCCCTCCTGCCCCACTAAAAAGTGAGCCGGCCGCAATGCGAGGAGGTGTTCTGGCCAGAATCGGGCCGGAACGCACTGCAACTGGTGTGAACGGGACCTTAGTGCTAAATGGGGCTGACGGCATGCTAAAATGACATACGACAACATTGGCTGAGAGGCCATTGTAGCATTCCTTTACGTTCTGTTTCAGATGAATCAAAGACCTCCAGTCAAAATTGAAAAGGAAAGCTTAAAATGTGAACAGCGGACACAGCCCATCGCTCAGGACTTCTGTTCGCCGTCCAGTGCACCAAGCCATGCGACTGTCTAAAGGCCGTGACACACTGCACGCGAAGCAGCGCGGAGCGGTGGCGCGCTGCCTTTTGCGAGCAGTGCGTCATGTAATTTTCTGCTCGGCACCTCAGCTTGCGAGAGCTCGCGGAGCTGAGCGTGCCGAGATGAACAATTTCAACTTCAGCCAATCGGCTCGCGCGTATAAACCAGCGCGTCGCGATGCGACAGCTGGCAGGTTGTTACGGACGAGCCGATTGGCTGAAGGTGCTGTCAATCATCTGACGGCACTCAGCTCACACACTGCACGCAAAGCTCCGTGCCGGAGAGCTTTGCTTCGCTCTGCACGGCTTCGCGTGCAGTGTGTCACGGCCTTAATGTGGCCTTTATCAACCAAGGTTCCTCTAGAGCGGCGGTTCTCAACCTGTGTAACCTCAGGGCCCACATTTGTCCTTGGGCATCAAATGGTGGCCCAAGTCGCACTGCAATAGAACGCACGGCATTGCGGTACCGTGCGTTCCGGTGCGAGCGAATGAACTGTGGGCGGGAGGTGTGTTTGGGGTGCCGTTACGAGAACTGGAGTGGATCCTCAGCCGGAGGACCACTGCTGGGCCGCTGTGCTGTGACGGAGCTCCATCCATACGTGCATTGCTTGTGCAACTCCCATGTGCGCCCTGTAGAGGTGTCGGGAGCCAGAATGTGATGTCACTCCGGTCCAGGCACCTCTACAGGGCAGGTGAGGGAGCTGTAAGCAATGCACGTATGGATGGAGCTCCCCCGTGGCCCTAGCTCCAGCCCACCTCAAGCTGACACTCGGCGCCGGGCAGTATATTCTAAAGGGCTGCTCTGCGTGAGAACTGACAGCGCTGCTCTAGGAGGCGGCTAAGAGACTCTCGCCTACAAAAGTGGAAGGCATGCGACGACCCGCTGAACACGGGGTCCCGACCCACTTTTGGGTCACGACCCACCAGTTGACAACCAAGGCTCTAGAGTTTGCTAGGGGTTCCTTAAGCATTGAGGACTTGACCTCCCTCCTGATGGCGTCCGCATAATTACACCACCAACACCACTCTGCAGAGCCAACCACATGGGACCAGTCCGGTAGAACTTCTCATTACTCAGGTAAGGTGCCAATGATACCAATGATCATGAGAGCATTCATCCCACTGGGGGCACCACATTGACCACCACATCTGACCACCAGTGTAACACAGCTTGTTTACCATTAACCACGAGTGTAAGGGGGCCCTTCTCTCATACACCCCCATTGTACACTGAGCTGTAGATATAATGATTTGTAGCCGGGGGTTCCCTGAGATCTGAGAAACCATTTCAAGGGTTACTCCGTGGGAGAAGGGGTGGAGAAAGGTCTACTCTGACTCACTGCCAGCAACCTCATGACTTCGGAACACCAGTACCTGAGCGACACGAATCTGCTCTTCCTCGTTCTGAACATCTCTAAACAAGTTCAACAATGAGCGCATGCTTTGTGAAATGATGGCCGGTACCTGTTGCAGGTGGATGCTTTGCATTTGTCCCTCATCTTCGTCTCACACTTGATGACTTGAGCTGGGGGAGGAGAAAAAACAAGGTGAACGCGGGAGAATGAAGAAGACAGCGGCATGTACCAATCCATAGAGACCAAAAACTGGAGAACTTGATACAACTGAAACCTAAACAAAACAATAGTGTGTGATATCATCAGAGTACAGAACCATTGGAGGCAACTATATACAATGAGGCCCCATAGCCAATGAGTCACCCCCAACGTAGACACAGGCAGCAGTAAGAACTCGAAACTTTGGTTCTAACCAATGCTGCCATTAGCAGATCCAACACCAGCTCCATACAGACATGAGGTGACCAGTCTGGTGAAGACCCTTTTCTGTTCCACCATGACAACCCCTGTGTACAATGGCAGCTCCATAAAAACATGGGGTGACCAGTGTGGTGGAGGAACTCGAGTGTCCTGCACAGAACCCCGACCTCAACCCTACTGACCACCTTTGGGATGAAGTGGGACACCGATTGTGAGTCAGGTCTTCTCATCCAACATCAGGACCTGACCTCACTAATGGGACAAATTCCCCACAGACACACTCCAAAATCTCATGGAAGGCCTTTCCAGAAGAGTGGAGGGTGTTTTAGCCACAGAGGGAGGCCAACCTGGGGCAGCAACTCCATAATGATGGCCATGGGGGCAGGGTGAAACTTTATATTAATGGCC